CTACCTTACTAACTATTAATAAGCAGCAAATTAGTAGTTTATTGAAGCAAAAGTCCTTGTTAATAGTTTGTTAATAGCGAGAATTGGACCTTAAAATAAATTGTGACCAAATATTCAACATATAGGCTAGTCATATTGTGTAATTGGAATGAATTTCACTAAGAGTTTAAATTCAACTTTAATGATTAAATTCACTTTAATGACACTTTTATGAAGCTAAACCTCTAGACATCAAGAATGTAAGCCAGTCAACGTGAACTGATAAGAAGTCAAAATGAGTCATATGGGTTATTCATTTTTTGTTGCTATTGTTTTTCACTGGAATCTAATCTCATTGCAACTAGAGGTCCTGTGTTTAGCATCTGTCTTGTATATCTCTCATTCTCCTGATTTCCCTTCTACACAGGGATGAATTGGGTCAGAAGCCCAGTGTTTCATCTGGAAACGCTAAAGCCGGACACACTGACATTGACGGCTCACTCTTCCATAACGGCACTAAAGCAGATGGTAAGAAAAACTTGAAAAACTTTTCAAAGCTAGCACTAATATGTATATTTACTGCCTGTTATCCACATGTAGACAAGCGTAATGTAGCGTGGCATTTATATTTGTGAACTGCCAAACTTGTTGATAAAAGTTTCTTAGCTTGTGTATGTCACAATTTGTTGACATACATTTGTGTGTATTTAGACTCAGATTCCGACAGCGAGCTCTCCGTGGATGAACACAGCAGCTCATACGCCTCCTCTCACTCATCTGACAGCGAAGACGAAGACATGGACTTGAAGCCTAAGTGGAATAATGAGAGACAACCACTACACAGCACTCCAAAGGGTACAAGAGAAGGTATTTTTCCTTCAGAGTTACATTAAAATATGGAAATGTGAAACCCCCGGATGCATTTACAAGTTATTAAAGTGTCAGTAAACATTAACCCCTTCTTCCATGTCTCAGTGGACACCGTGTCTAATCATGTCAAGCCTTACTGGCCGACCGAAGCCATGGCAGCCAGTGACCGTGAAGATCCCGGAGGGGCAGAGAGACTGAGAGTGGAGACTAAAGTTAATGTGGAGCTCCATCAGGAAAATAAACTCAATCACACTGGAGAGACCACTCAGGATAAAGACCAGCCAACACCCTCCACCCAAGCCAACAGCAACCACCAGCCTGAACAGAGGAAGGGTGAGAGTGGCAAATAAACATAAATTACTTAATTAAAAAATACAAAATATATAAATTTTTTGAGATCCTCACCTAAAAGCAAAGTCATTTCAGAGGCAGCTGATTAAATCCTAATTAGATTGTATTTTGTATCACTTTAAATTTAGTTAATGTTTTTATATATATATATATATATATAACTTTTTTTTTTTATTACTTTTTATTTAATAGTTTTAGTTTATTTAGTTTTAGGTATTTTACTACTTCAAGTTAAAATAAAATTAGAAATGTTACCTTGGCAACTAGCTGAAATAAGTCTTATTTTTATGTATATATATTTTATTTTTATTTCAGTTAACGTTCATTTTATTTAAAGGAACGTCAAGTGAAAGAAAATGTATGGTTTTTAAATGTAATTTAATATAAACAAACATTTTCTTTAAGATAACATTAATATTTATTAACATCCAATCATGTTATGATTTTATGTTGCCTCTGTGATATATATTACATATATACTAATATTCCAATGTACTTTCATTTCATAGGTATTCTAAAGAATAAGATCACATATCCTCCTCCACTCACAGACAAAAACATGAAAAACAAACTTAGGGAGAAGTTATCGGACTACCACCCCCCCACCATCTCCTCCAGAGCGCCCTCTTTAGCTTCTAATGATGGGGGCAACGGCCACAACGTCCTAATCAAGCCCCCTCATCGGCTGGCCGTCCCACCACGAGAGCAGGAGAATGGCATGGCCTTGAATCTGAGATCAGGAACTGTTAATGGCGGCAACCTGTCAGACTCTGAGTAAGACGCTTTTCTACACCCCATTTTGCTGCACCCAAACCCTTTCTTTCTTTCTTTCTTTCTTTACTATTACAAAAATAAAATAATTATTTTAGTATTAGAATTGAATAATTGATTATAAAATGAATTAGGGTTGTCCCAACACCAAATATGCAGTATTTGATACTAATATCCGTGAAATTCCACAACTCTCAATTCCAATATGGATAATGCATCAAAAAAAAAATGGGTGAAATGTTTTAAAAGTGAATAAAGTATTGTAAAGTACGGAGCCCCGCACATGACATGCAAGAAAAAATAAATAA